ACACTTCCTATAGATTAAATCTGTTGGGTGGTTGTGAACGTCTGCCACTCCCATTGAAGTACCTCTTTGTACTTTTTCCAACATCTCTGAGGTGGCTTTGCTCTTCTCACCACTTACTGGGATGTTCTGTGTTTGACTGCTGTCAGTACGTTCTGTGGTACGACACATCTCAATTGCTCCTTGTAAACTTAAATTATCTTCCCTCAAAAGGCAATGGCGTGTGCTTTCACTAGTGATACACAGAACTATTTTATCATGAATAACTTAATCTCTCAGAGAGCCATATTCATGGCTCGCAGCTTTTCCTTTTCACCGTGTGACAAAATTGTCTATTGCTTCACTCTCTTCTTGCTTACAGCTGCCAAATATATATATATATCTTTCTTATAGGACATTTTTAGAGGGTCTGAAAAAGACTTCTAAGGCATCTAGAATGGCTTTAGTGTCACTTTTTCTCTCCTCTGTGAGGGTTAACTTATGCTTGTAAATGTGGAGGCATTTGCGGCCCATCAGCCTCTTCAGTTGTGGCTATTTGCCCTGTTGCCAGCTTGTCATTTAAGCCTGTGGCTAGGGTGTAATCCTCAAGCTCTGCTCTGAAGTTGTCCCAGTTTATTGCTGCAATCTCCACTCACCCTCATTGCCTCAGGCAGTGGTATGCTGTTCACAGCTGCCATTTTTCTTGCTTCGGATGCTTGGCTTCCAGGACAGGACCACAAGTGATAGACTGGCATGCATCAAATACGTAGAGACAAAATTTGTAGACCAGTGAAATCGGAGGGAACTAATTCCTGGGCAAACTTTTCATTGGTGGAAACAGTAGGACAAGCGTGTTTTTTTTAAAAAATATATATATATTCTGAAACAAAAAAAAAATACTTTTGTAATAAGGCAGCCGAGTTAGGGCTTCCATGGTTGAGAAGAACAATAAGAAAAGCAAACACTTTCCTGCAGTTGGTCACCTCATTAAAAAGGACTTAAGTGGACAGGTGAGGATCTTCTCTCTGTTTTTGCATGATAGATTAAGACAAATGTTTCAGTAATGGAAACCTGGTTATTCTTGAGTCATGCAAGAATAACCTGGGGTCATGCAAGTCGGGGGGAGCAGGGAAACGTGGGGAGAAATGGTTTGCAATGGGAAAAGCATAGGAGAGGGGCTGAAAAAGAAGCAGGAATATGCAGCTATATATTGTCATTGATTTATTTGCACCCTAATGATGTTGGCAGGAGCCAACGAAAGCTAGGTCTGCTTTTTAAAAAACTTTAAATGTTTTATTTATATTTAAACTTTTAACGTTTTATAAAACGTTTAATGTTTTAACTCTTCCTGGTGCTCACGTTTTATTTCCTAATATATATACACTGCAGGATAGAGTGAGAGCGGCTTGTGAATTAGATCCCCTGCCTTACTCCCTACGCCTGAAGAGAGCCACGCCCCCCGTAGTCACATGGGAGGGGAACATCTACGAGGCTCTTGCTTCAGGAGTGACTACACACTCCCGAACAACAGCGCGACAGACGAGGAAAGACGAAAATATGGCCATTAGACTGGATCTCACATCAAAATCCATGGGGGGGGAAGGGCAAAGATTACCAACTAGACCGTATGCGGAAACGACCACCCCGAGGAATACCCACTGCCCCGTTCAACGGGCACCAAGAATCACAGACTAATCCCCAGAGTGTATTGGGAGTCACTGTGGGAAAGAAGGGGATGGACATTGTAAGGGATTGTGACAATGGGGATGTTAGAAAGATGGAGGGGAAAAGGGAATCAGACAGTGAGAGTACGTGCAGGATAGTTGCAATGGAATCTCGGAGCAGAGAGTATGAGAATGACGGTGGAGGGGGGAAGAGACCCGTCCGTGCAGAATGCCTCAAGGAAGAATGGAGGGGGAAGCAGCCAGACGAGGATGGCTGCATGTTGGATTGGAATAAAACTAATTGCCCTCTTGAGTCACAGATACGGAAATGTGGGGGAATAGCAACCGATACGTATATGGACAAAGGGGATGAGGACAAATTAACTAATTGTGTAGAGATTGGTACAGACACAGGGATTGGCCGATTGAGACCTATTACACGTTCCAGAAGTCGAGCGCAGGCGTTGGCTTGCCTATAAATGTTTCTCCCATTGATTTGTTTGCGCCCTGATGATGTTGGCAGGAGCCAACGAAAGCTAGGTCTGCTTTTTATCAAAAAACTTTTAATGTTTTATATTTAAAACTTTTAGCGTTTTATATTTAAAAATTTTAAATGTTTTACTCTTTCCTGGTGCTCACGTTTTATTTCTTAACACACACACACACACACACACACACACAATATATGTAGGTCTTTGGTTATTCGGGTTTTCTCCCGCGTAAAATTGGAAGTGTCTTGGCGACGTTTCAACGAAGTCCCATTCGTCATCTTCAGGCTGGTGTTTTCAGCTTCGTGCTTCGAAGAAATATATATATATATATTGGCTAGCGGTGTTTGGAGGATGTCCACTGGAAACAAAGCTAGCTGTCCCACTGGAAGGGTACCTATTTATCTGCTTACACTTTCACATGCTAGGTGGGCAGGAACTGGAACAAGGACGGGAACTCACTCCGTCAGGCAGTGCCGAGGACTTGAACCGCCAGGATGCCCACTATCACTAGCTGACAAATCCAGTGTCTTTAAGCCATTGTGCCACTGCGCCCCCTAAAGTGAAACTGTCAAAGTGCAGTAAAACAAATGCAGTTACAATATTGCCTTGGCAGATCCACAGTTTGTACGAAGCTCTTTCTTAGTGCAAAGTGGAATGTAATTTCTGCTCCGATCTTTCAGTGAGATGGGGCGTTGTCTTACCTGAATGCCTTTTCTCAGCACGGAGATGGAGAAATGCAACACTTAAATTTTAGCACCAAGAAGCTGCCACAGCCAAGGATTTGACTTTCCTTGGATTTGAAGCCGTTTTAGAGGGAGTTTGCAGGATGCCTAGTGTGGAGGGAGCTCATTCAGTCTTTGAGCTGAGGGTCAGCTTTTCAGAATCTGCGGAAGCATCGGCAGCCATTTTATTGCTCATAATAATCCATGATTTTCTGCCTTGCCATGATCTTCAGTTAGATTACATACAAGTACCACACGTATATGCAGCATTTGATTAGCCGATTGTACACAATAATTTCATGATCCAGCTAATAGTGACAGGATGTAGTTCTCCCACTTCCCTTTGTAACAAAGTAGTCACAGATTTTATTTTGGAGGTGCATTGTGCTTTTTATTGAAAGTAGAAGGCAGAAATGAACTGACATTTTTATCATAGGCTTTCCGTCAAGCCTCAAAGAATGTCTATGCTGTCTTAGCCATTATTGCTTCTTAGCTTGCCTACAAGCTGGGGGGGGGAGAGGAGCTGGGAGAATGGAATGCAAATCTCTGATAAGTTCTTTGTGAGAACTAAGAACTCTCCAGACTTGTTTACTGAGAACAAAAGACATTCTCTCATAATAACTGTCTGACTTATAATTGGATAATGTGATCTGCACTATGAGGGGAAGGAGGTTTCTATACTTTTAATATAGCAATTTAGGTGTGAAATAATCAGAGCTGGTTTTCCTTTCGTCCGAGCCAAAATGATTTGCTCAATAAAGTTTTGCATTAGAGATTGGATCATCTCAGCTATGCTTACTACGTTGGGTTCATCAGTCGGAACCTTGACACTTACTACCGTATATTCCGGCGTATAAGGCGACTGGGCGTATAAGACGATCCCCAACTTTTGAGAAGATTTTCAGGGTTTAGAAAGTCATCTTATATGCCAGAAAATACAGTACAATATTGAATTTCTGTTTATAGATGAGCACAATAGGAGCTCCATTCCTTTGCTGCTAGAAAGCTTTGACCTGTTAGTGCTTATTTCTGTAAAAAAAATTAGGGCTGGCCACTAGGGGGCAGATTGGTTTTAAATTCAGAGAACAGCTACCCATATATTCCAGCGTATAAGACGACCCCTGACTTTTGAGAAGATTTTCAGGGCTTAGAAAGTCGTCTTGTACACCAGAATATACGGTAGATTATTCAACTCAAAATCCTAGACCCTTTTGAGAAATAGCAACTCCAGACAAGCCCAATAATTCAAATATGAGTGTGGGAAACCCAAGATTACCATAACATTCTGGAGCTGACAAAACAATTAAAGTAAAACATGGAGAAGTGGTGTTCTTCAGCGTGACCTGACAATAAACCCAAATGTATTCCTAAATGAAACATGCACATAATATAGAAGAAATATTTCTATTGTTTCAACAAAATTAAACAAGAATTAATAGTCCGGAAGAAAGGAACGTCCTTTAGTAGGCCCGTGCGAGACAATGTTGAAGTGTCTTTAACAGTTTGCGTTGGGTAAACTCTTTTGTGTCCCATCAAGAGGATTATTATTGCAAACAGGATTTTTGCCCCAAATTAACAGTGTAACAGCTCCTACCCTAAGACCAACGCTTCTTTTTATTATTAAACACAGAATAGAAAAGGCAGGATATTTCTGTAAGAAGAACCTTTCATTCTGTTAAGGTAATGATTTAACAGCTAACCAGCTTATGTAATGTAAGATGTAATGATGGGGATGACTCAGCAGGGTCTGTGTCTCTTTAAGAGCCTAAAGGGAAGGCTCTGCTGATGTGTTCTCTCTCTTCCATTTCCTGCTGTATCTGTGGTACGTTGGATCCTGCTGTATTAGCGCGTGTATGTATATTGTTCCTGATGCATGATATTGTAGATAGTGTAAGATAAACCATCATTTAATAGAGACTGCTGTTTACTGTGTTTACTCCTGGGTTATCTCGCGCAATAAGACTGTGCCCGCTCTAACAGATTCCCTATTTAAAATGTGATTTCCCCTTTATCAACTCGTGGGTTTATCATCAGGGTGCTCCAAAACTAAGGGTTTTTGCCTTTTCAGGTAACAGTGAAAGGTGAGAGATCCTAAGGGCAATATCATCATGGTAGACCACGTTTCTGTTTGTTTCTTTTTCCTTTTCCCGTTCCAATTCTTCACTGGGTTTTCTTGTGCGGCTTATAAACTAGCAGAAAATAAAGCGACGCGATTCCGCACAACAGGGTCTGAATGAACCAACAAAGCTGAGTCTTGCTGTCCGTGATGCCTTTCTTACTGCGAGGGAAAGAGGAAAAGGACACTTGTATTTATTTAGTGGGACAATAGTTCAAGCTCCAATAAAGAGGTGGGAGGTTCTGCACATGTTCCGCCATCAGAAAAACAAAGCTGCTCGCCTCCTTCCCGATTGTTTGCGGTGTGGAACCCAATTCCCAGTTACTAAACCTATTTTTGGATCTGAATATAAATCCGGAGGAAGGTTCTTTTGCTTATTCTTCTTATTCTGCACTGAAAATTGCACTGGTGATGTTACCTAGTTTGGTAATGAAACATCTGCCAGAAAACCACCAAGGACCCCACAGTTGTTGTCTTCTGCTCCTTCTTATATAACTTCTCACCCTACCGTATGTATGTCTTCAGATCAATTTGCTTGGGTTGGACTGCATTTAATTATTGGTTAGCAACCCACAGAGAATCAACAGTGATGTGAATGTGTTCTTCTGCAACAAGAACACTCTGGGTTGGGCAATTAATTGCTTCTATCGGCCCAGATAAAGGATTAAAAGAAATAAACTTTGAGATCCTATCTACAAATATCATGTGGCAAAAGGAGGGTTGTGAAATCACACAAAAGTTGTCTTCTGCGTTTTGCACACTCCACCCTCTATTGAGTAAGATATCTCCTCCAGAAGAACGCATCGAGCAAGACAGCTTTGGCTGTCCTAAACTGAGGTCAACTCCCTGATCTTTCATACCTGGACCATCTCCATGTAACACTGGCCCATTTTGGACTTTATTTCAACGTATTTGGTTTACAGCTCCACAACGAAAGGACAGGTGGTCCTCAACTTATAACAGTCCATTTAGAGACGGAAGTTACAACAGACCTGAAAAAAGTGACTTACAACCCTTTTTTTCACACTTACGACGGTTGCTGCATTCACTGCGGTCTTAAGTTGGAGACTACCTTATAACAAGGAATAGAAAACCCTATTATTTCTGAATACGTTGCAGCTGTCCAATGCCATGATTAACGTGGGAGTCCTTTCTACAAGCTTTTAGATGCGGGAGGCACTGTCCCTCACTCCTACACCAAACAAGACAAACACACACTTCGAGGGATAGTTAGGACTGCAGGGAAAAAAAAAAAACCACAATTGCTACCAGCCTGCCTTCCACGGAGGACCAGTATACTGCACGAGTCAAAAAGAGGGCTGTGAAAATATCCACAGAGCTCTCACATCCTGGACGTAAATCTGTTTCAACTTCCTCCCTCAAGACGACGCCATCGGGCATTGCACAACAAAACAACTAGACACAAGGACATTCCCCCCACCACCACCCTGGGCTATCCCTCTGCTAAACAACTAATTCTCACAACACTAGGATGTCAAACCACCTAGTAGTAGGACTGTATTACTATTATCCTTCTCATCTTTCCTACTACCTATTTCCTTAGCTTCTTATGACAATAACTATTTGAATCTGATGGTTTATGCTGATCATTTATTTAGTATCCTATGATTATCACTGAGTGTTGTATCTTATGATTTATGGTGATTGTATTTTATGACTGTGATCGTGATTTATCACTTGTGGCTTCTAAGCAGACTAAGAGCTCATGCACCAGAGACAAAGTCCTTGTGTGTCCAATCACACTTGGCCAATAAGGAATTCTATTCTATTCTATTCTATTCTATTCTATTCTATTCTATTCTATTCTATTCTATTCTATTCTACTCTACTCTACTCTACTCTACTCTACTCTACTCTACTCTATTCTTATCATTATTCTATTCTATTCTTATCATTATTCTATTCTATTCCATTCCATATTATTCTATTCTATTCTATTCCATATTATTCTATTCTATTCTATTCTATTCTATTCTATTCTATTCTATTCTATTCTATTCTATTCTATTCTATTCTACTCTACTCTACTCTACTCTACTCTACTACTATTCCTATTCCTATTTTGCATTGTATTGTATTGTATTGTATTCAAACTCTATTCTATTCAAACTCTATTCTAACTCTAACTTTACTCTACTCTATTCTATTTTATTCAAAAAGAGTATTCCTAGATGTAGAAAACTACCATGCCAACACAACTGAAACTCTGCCACCATCAACTCCTGAAGAAGAAGTTAGGAGAACTTACTTGCATAACCAGATACTCAAGAATGCTTCTCCGATATGAAATAAGCAAGCCGCCAGATATCTGTAATTAAGACAAACAGCACCAAGAATAAATTAGACGCCAGTTCAAATAAAAGGAAAGGCCAAAACTCTCTCTTGTGTCTCAATAATTCAAAGGGGGGATGAAGTGATTCAAATTCAAAAACAAAGAAGGGGTGCAGAGGGTTTTCCAGCAACACCTTTAAAAACAAATCGCAACTTTTCCTGGACTTGGTGCAGCCTCAGGAAAGGACACTCTCGTTTTAAGGCTGTATGTGTTCCTTCCTCTTAATCTTTCACCTCCAAATTGAGTTGATTGCCCTGCAAATAGATATAGTTGTGTTGTATGGTATGTCTGTGAGAACGTCCCTGACGATCTGGATGTTGTTTTAAGGAAAGCCAACTCTTAAAGCCAAAATATACTGGGAGCTGAGTTCTACCCCTATGTCTCTTTTTTTCATTGCATTCTCCACCATCTATAATAAGACCTTTGATGGAGTCACCCACTGTTGGCTGATGGGTTACCTAGAACAGTGGTTCTCAACCTGTGGGTCAGGACCTCATTTGGGGTCGAACAACCATTTCATGGGGGTCGCCAAACAACGCAGTCCGCCATTTTTTCCCCCTTTTCCTTAGCTGTGCTACTCCCTTTTATTCTATTGGCTTTTGAAAGCCAATAGAATAGACTCATTCTGCAAACGGTGCTGCACCAGTTGAGTATTCCTCGACTTATGACCGGTTGAGTAGTCCTCAACTTACGACGGTTGGGGTCGCAGCATTAAAAAGGTTGAGAACCACTGCACTAGAAGAAAGCTCACGGTCTCCAATATCTACACTAAGTTGGCAAGTGTATTTTCCACCATCTACCCCAGAAGGAGCATTCTTCAGACCGAAGCATTCCTATGTTTGATGCCTCAACTTCGATGTCCAGAATTTGGTCTTGCTTGAGGCCGAATTGGCACAGATTCTAGAGTTCCTTTCTTTTCTGGTCTATTCTGACTTTGGAATTTGCCTTGTTATTCGGTCTAAGGTCAATGAAAACGTTTAGTCAACTGGGGGCATCAGTTAAAGGAAGGGAAGGTTGAGAAGGAAGAAGGCCAGAGAGGGGATAGGAGGGAAGAAGGAAGAAGAGAAGGAGAAGTTTGTGTCCCAAGTTTATGCAAAACTCCTCTGGGATCTGTCCACATTTTGTGGAACTCGGGAAACCATCCTGAGTTTGGTTTCTGACGACTTCCAAAACACCATGTTTGGTCATAGAAGTGTACTTCTATGTTCTGGGTTGGGATGACTTGATCTCCGAACATCATTCTGGGAGAAATCTTTGATTTCCATCATTCCCCATAACCCTGGTCTTTCCAAAACTGGGTTTCAAAACCCAGAAGTCAAGAAATTGCTAAGAATTCTGAGAGTTGCAATAAACACTTCTGGAAGTTGGTAAACACTGCCCCAAACTTATCAAAGGCCAGCTTTCTCTTGGCAAAGGTAGTCAGCGTTCTGTTCTCATTTGTCTTCTTCCGGCAGGAAAGTTCGTTGTGTTGCTGTCTGTCAAACAGGTGTTAAATTCCAGTTAAGCTGATTTATTGCTCATGCCTATCTGGTCAACTAAGGTCAGCATTAAATTGGCATTCAATAAGACTTAACAGAATTCAAGAGGACTGGACATAGACCATTATTTATGGGAACGCAATGACTCCAGGCTGATAGCTCTCTTGACTCCACCTCCAGGCTCTGCCTGTCCTTCTCCTATGCCACCTTTCCAAAAACGTTGTCCTCTGCAGCAAGACAAGGTGTCTGAAGATGCATGTTACTTGTGTATTGCCTGCCTGTTTCCCAACCATATGGAAACCAAGTTTCCTGCATATCCATATAAACATCTGGCTTGTATGAGCCATGGTGGCACAGTGGCTAGAATGCAGCATATTGCAGACGAACTCTGCCCACAGCCTGAAGTTCAATTCTGACAAGCTTGTGGTTGACTCAGCCTTCCATCCTTCTGAGGTCAATTAAATAAGGAGCTAGATTGTTGGAGGAGATAGGCTGACTCTGTTAAACCGCTTAGAGAGGGTTGTAAAGCACTATGAAGTGATATGTAACTTTAAGCTCTATTGCTATTGTCTAAACAGCCCCTAAACAGTCCCCAAGTGTTGAAGTCAACTTACACTACATGGAAAAGAGTTTTGTGGTTCTCCTGCAGATATTTTGTGAATCTTCCTAATGGACCCAGACCATCATAGGGGATTATTGAAGGCGCAAAGACAGCACACTAGAGAATAAAAAGAAAAGGCCCATAAGCATCACACAAGTATCTTCTCAACAGATGGTTCCAACTTGTACACCTGTTCCCTTTTCAATCACCTTGCCATCTTCACAAACCAAATTTACAGTGTACTAAGAAAAGAGGTTCTGCTGTTATGGAAAGTATAACTTGTACATAACTGTACAAACCAAGAAAATTAAAAAAAAAAAAAAGGACACGGTTTATAAAATGTGCACCCTTCCGAAGCAGAACATCCAGAACATTCAGTCACAGTTTTGTTCCATGCATTATTAACCTTGTGACCTCTAAAGCTTCCTCTTTCAGTTGTGCATTCAAGATGGACAGTGATTAATATGTATATATGTTCAATACATCCCTGCAGTTGTTCCATAAGTCACACGGTCCTCCCATTTGGAAAAACGAAACAAAAAAACCCTCTTGAGATCGTCTCCTCCTTTCCCTGTGTGGGAAGTCAGCCCCCCCCCCGAGAAAGAAATATTTTTGGAAATATTTAAAAGGCAGAATATATTTCCCTAAAGGATTTTAAAAGCAGAAACTAACCCCCCCCCAAGTCTCTCGGTCCCAAACAGAAACCAGGTCTGCAGAAATGCAGATGTGACAATCTTGTCAGAAAAAATAATTGGACACGGGAAGCTGGGACAAAGGTCCCTAGAATCAACAATCCCTCACGCCAAAAAATCCAACAGCCGTTAGCCACAGCCCCGGGGAAGCAGGATTGACCTTTGGGACATAACAGGGTTAACCCACCACCATCAGAATACCAGAAAGGCACACTCAGACTCAAGTTCAAATTCATGCCACAGGAACAACTCCAAACACAAAAGCCCAAGAACAGTGCTTCTCAACCTGTGGGTCAGGACCCCATTTGGGGTCAAACGACCATTTCACGGGGGTCACCAAACAACGCAGTCCGCCATTTTTTCCCCCTTTTCCTTAGCTATGCTACTCCCTTCTATTGGCTTTTGAAAGCCAATAGAATAGACTCTTTTGAATAGACTCTTTCAAAAGCCAATAGGAATTGTCCAGGCTGTCTCTGCCCTGCCCTGCCCCTGCCCTGCTGAGCCCGCCAAAAGTCCCATTCTGCAAACGGTGCTGCACCAGTTGAGTAGTCCTCGACTTACGACTGGTTGAGTAGTCCTCGACTTACAACCGGTTGGGGGTCGCGGCATTAAAAAGGTTGAGAGCCACTGCCCTAGAAGGTATAAAAATGCACTCCCTACTACAGTGATGGTGAACCTTTTAGAGACCGAGTGCCCAAATTGCAATCCAAAACCCACTTATTTATCGCAAAGTGCCAGGGCTGCTTTAGCATTGTGGTACCCTCAGGGGGGGCCACTGGATGGGCATGGCTGCACTGGTCCTGGCAGACTGGGTGAACGTGGCCAGGACAGGGCAGCAGGGGCCAGTCCCTTGCCATTTCTGGGGCATCGGGGGGGGGGGCAACAGCGCTTGCTCGCTCACTTCCTGCCCTTGCTTCCAAACGTTACTTTCTCGCTACTCTGGTGAACTTTGCTGGGGCAACGGTGCGTGCCCACAGAGAGGGCTCTGAGTGCCGCCTCTGGCACGCGTGCCATAGGTTCGCCACCACTGCCCTACTATATGTGCTCTCTCTCTTCTCTTGCAGAGCCACCTTCCTGTCTGGCTCGCCTCTTCAATATAATTGCAACTTTCTTTCTAAAGCAGCCTCTACATTGTTTATTCCAGGCTTGGGCTGGACCCTGATGAAGACTTTTCCTTCAACACCTGCAATCCCTCCCCTGCCCCCTTGCCCCCCCCTGTTGCACACGATGGGGGGGGTCTTCTGGGGAGAAACCCCCCCTTTGTCTCCCCCCCTCCCCAGGGAAAGTAGCAGGTGGGGAAGGGAAAGGCTGGTGCGCATCTCTCCAAAGGATACTGCGCTTTGCCGCTCACCTGCCTGCTCCTTCCTTCTTTCCTTCCCTTCCTTCCTTCTCCCTCCCTCCCTCCCTCCTTCCTTCCTCTCCTTACACCATAGTAGACCATGGCGGCCACGATCACCACCACGAAAAACGGCCGCGTCCTTCGGAAGTAGGTGGCGGGGTTGTCGGAACGCGGGGCGCATGCCGCCCGGGAGGCCATTGTCCGCGGCTGATTCTAGCCCGGCGCTGCCCGCGCGGCGGAAGAAGAAGCGCTGCCTGGCAGGCCGGCCCAGCGAGGAGGGACCGCGATGCGCGGAGCTCCGCCTCTGCCTCCCGCTGAAGGGGTGGCAAGCGGCGGCGGCTGGCGCGGGCGAGGAGGGAGAGCGGGGCGCGCGAGGGGAGGTCGCGGCTCTGGAGCCGCCGGGCGGGCTGGGCTGGGTGGGCTGGGCTGGCTCCGCTCTTGCTCTCCAGAGGGGGCTTCAGTAAGGGCTTTTGGGTTGGGCTGATTTTTTTGGGGGGGAGGTCCCTTTGTTTGTTTGGGGTTTTTTTGCTTATTATTTGCTTCATTTTTGTTTGCTTATTTGTTTGCTTATTTGCTTATTGTATTAATAAACAAATATTTTAATAGATAGATACAAAGATACATAGATAGATATAGGATGGATGACATATAGGTAGGTAGATATAGATAGATTAGATAAACAAATGGTAGACAGATTTATTAGATAGATAGATAGATAGATAGATAGATAGATAGATAGATAGATAGATAGATAGATAGATAGATAGATAGATAGATAGATTAGATAGACAGACTAGATAGACAAATGATAAATAGAGATAGACAAATGATAGACAGATTTATTAGATAGATAGACAGGCAGACAGACAGATTAGGTAGACAAATGATAAATAGATATAGACAGATAGATTTGTTAGATAGATAGATAGATAGATAGATAGATAGATAGATAGATAGATAGATAGACAGACAGACAGACAGACAGACAGACAAATGATAGATAGACAGACGGACAGACAGACAAATGATAATAGATATAGACAAATGATAGACACATTTATTAGATAAGAGAGACAGACAGACAGAGACACAGACAGACAGATTAGGTAGACAAATGATAAATAGATATAGATAAATGATAGACAGATTTATTAGATAGATAGACAGACAGACAGACAGACAGATATGGATGGATATATGGATGGTCACAGACAGATTTATTAGATAGACACATGGGTTGGATAGTGGATGAAGGTGACTGGTTCAAGTTCCCTCAGTTGGCTTTCATGGCTAAGGTGGGACTTGAACTCAGGGCCTCCTTAACCACTAGACCAAATGTGACTTAATGATCATACTTTTCTGTCTGAGGTGAGGAATCAAACTGACCTTAGCAGCACTCACCCCTTTTTCCATGTGTCTGTGTGTTGGTGTGTCAAAATGCTTCATTATTTTTGAATCAAGCAATAAAACATAGATCTCAAAAAAAAGTAGAAAAAAGAATAAAAACAAGTGCAGAAAGTTTTCAGCCAAAAGCCCATTAGAGTTTTCCATTCTTATATATATATAAAAAAACCTATTGTTTTATCCCAGACCCAAACAGGTCAGTTTCGCCATTCCTGACACTTTTGAAATCATCATCAGTCGTTCCTCCATTGTGAAAATTTAGGTATTTAAAACACTTCCTTATAGTTTCCCTGAAAATTTGCTCTCATTTTCCTGGACAAATTCAAGTGAATTTTGAGGGGAAACAATCTAGAGCCATTTCCTGCTATGATGTGGCATTTATGTTAGTTAAGATTGATATTTTTACCCGTTTTTAACCACATTTGACCTTTCTAGCCTTTTCAAAATGGAAATGCTTTGGGGGAGAGGAAAGAGCCTCACCTGCCAGCTGGGCAAATAAAATAAGAAAAGAGGATAAAAGCCGTGTGGTTGGTTGGGAATGTTTATTTCCTGTTCCAACAAGAGCATTAATTTTTATTTGTTGCTGGGGAATCCACCTTGGCGCAGATTCGCTTCTCACTTTGCAAGTTGCACTCTTGCAGATTTGGAGCTGAAAACAATTGCCTTGGCCCTGAGATAGATTTAAGGCTTTAAACCTGCAGTTTCAGAAAATTTTGAATTTCTCCAGATCAAAAGAAAGCAGCAAGGGTTAAAAAAAAAGAAAAAAAAAAGGCCTGCCTATTTTCATAAACGAACACTAGGGGGCAGTCTTTTCTTTTAAAACCAGCCAGTTCTTTAAAAGTGCAAATAGGAATAGTTTTGTTCTAATCTATTGGAACAACAAAAAAAAGTGTGTTCCCCCTCTCCCCTTCTAAACCAGGGCTCTCCAACCTTGGCAACTTTAAGACTTGTGGACTTCAACTCCCAGAATTCCTCAGCCAGCTTGTTGCTAAGCGAGACATTTGTTAAGGGAATTTTGCCCCATTTTACAACCTTGCTGTGAAGTCAGTAACCCGGTTATTAAGTGAATTTGACTTCCCCGTTGACTTTGCTTGTCAGAATGTCACAAAAGGTGATCATGTGACCCCAGGGAGGACACTGCGACCGTCATAAATACGAGTCAGTGGCCAATTTGATCACCCTGGGGATGCTGCACGCAACGGTTATTTAAGTGTGAGAAAAATGGCCATGCATTCCTTTTCTCAACGATGTTGTAGTTTTGAGGAGTCACTAAATGAACTGTCGTAAGTTGTATTTTTTTTTTCTCTCTCTACTGGGATTGTTTGTTTTTCAAGCAACATCCCAAAAGGAATCCTGAATCATCCCAAACTATAAAATCCATGATTTGCGTAAGATTTCACAAACTACAAGCCAGTTATAAAGGGCTGTACAGAACAAAAGCTTATATTATAATATACTTGATAGTCTTCAGGGTGCGGTGGGGCTCCTAATTTATTTGTAGAAACCTGTATAATGAGAGAACTCCTGATTTCCTAACATTGGGGTGAAGTATTCTATTAAATGAACATTGGCAAAATACAGGCAGTCATCTTTTACTGTAATCAATACTCTCTTTTTTTGTGACTCCTGTCAAAGTAGGAATGAAAACACTGGGTTAGAATCCATATAATCTCAAATTGTAATTATAACGCTCTAAGTTGAATTGTGTTATTGCAGCGGCCTATCAAGTTATCTGCTGACTCCTGGAGACCACAGATACAAATCTTGACAGGTTGTTTAGCAAATTTTTAAAGATGACTTGGAAAAGAGAGAGAGAGAGAGAGAAAGAGAGAGAGAGAGAGAGAGAGAGAGAGAGAGAGAGAGAGAGAGAGAGAGAGAACCACTGGCCCCCCAAGACTTTTATATCCGAAGCAAAATTAACTCCATTTCCTGACTTCTGATCCAATGCTTTTAATCTGTCCACAAAACTGGCACCCTAATCAAATAAATTGAGTTAATAAATTGAGATGTTTGCACAGGTATTTAACAACAACTCCATCTGTTACTGTTTTTTGGATGAAAAACCAGCATTTGAGGAGTAGGGAGGAGGAGGAGGGGGGGAGGAGGAAGAAGAGGAGGAGGAGGAGGAGAAGGTTTAATTACAAATTTCTGGCTATTTTTGAGTTACATGGAATGCTTTTATCTGCTGAGGGGGGGGGGTCACACTGTTAATCATTAATATATTTTCAGGGTTTGCCCACAGCCTTCTCTGCAGATCATAGCTATCTGACAAATGCAGAAGTCAGGTGAGGAAAAGCACAGACTGATTTATTTGTGCCATTTTCCCACAACGTGAGCTTCCACTGGGTTAGCAAATCCTAAAAATTTTCCATCTGCGTAGCCCTCAGCCTCTCGTTATCTCTTAAGGATGTGTTGAGACATGGATCTCCATGTCTGTCTAATCAAGGATTTAGTGCTACTCAGAGGTCTGACTGTTAACAGCACCTGGATCCCCCTTGAGGGTTTTGAGTGACTCGAAGTGCCCTTTTTGTCAAAGACATGCCCCGACAAGCAGAGATGCTTGACACAAGAAGCTGGACATGGCTCAGACCTAGTCTACATCAATGAGTCATTTTTTGCACATTTCACTCCTCAGTGGACCAAGATATTTGCAGAGCAACTGTGGCAATTGTGTTGTCTCCTGGATCAGTCAAGTTAACGTTGCTTCCCATCTGTAATTCTCCTAGATTTTCTAAATATTTCCTCCTGATGTAGCTCAGATAATTCATCAGGATTATTGTATCTCCCTCAACATCCAAAGTGGAGGAGGAGGAGGAGGAGGAGGAGGAGGAGGAGGAGGAGGAGGAGGAGGAGGAGGAGGAGGAGGAGGAGGAGGAGGAGGAGAAGGAGAAGGAGAAGGAGAAGGAGGAAGGAGAGGAGAAGGAGAAAAGAAGGAGAAGAAGGAGAAGAAGAAGAAGAAGAAGAAGGAGAAGGAGAAGGAGAAGGAGAAGAAGAAGAAGAAGAAGAAGAAGAAGAAGAAGAAGAAGAAGAAGAAGAAGAAGAAGAAGAAGAAGAAGAAGAAGAAGAAGAAGAAGAAGAAGAAGAATTTTTTGGGATAGATTTCTAGAGGTGTCAGCTTATACATATCTTTTCTCAATACTACTAAATGCTTAACTCTCCTCACTCAGCTTTGGCTGTGACCCAGAGAGCAGGATCAACAATGCATTTCAGAGTTTACATATTAACTGATCAGGATCACAATGGGAACTTGGCCCTTTTAGTAGGGTTAGTTTATTTTTTTTGTTTATTTGTTTGGAAAAGCAATGGGAACATGCCCCCTTTAATAGAGTTAGTTTATTTGCGTGTGTGTTTGTTTGGAAAAGCAAACAAAGGTCTAGGAGAAATTTATTTTTCAAACTAAAATCATCCCATTGGTGAGAGCAGGAAATTTTGAAACAGACACAATAATGGTCGTTCTTTGGACAAGCTGTTTAAAAAATATATTGTTATAGAACATAGATGTTTATACACCCAAAGGAGATTTTCTCTTCTTTCAGATATCCATGACTACACCCAAGAGAGAGAAAGAGAAGGATCACTATCATACAGCCACACAGAGATTATTTTTATTTTTTAATTTATTTTTTTATTATTTAATTTAATTTTTTAATTTTATTTTATTTTTTATTTTTTTATATTTTATACTATATTGTATTATACTTATACTATACTATATTATATTATTTGTTATTTTATTTTATTTTGTTACCTTATTTTATTTATTTTATTATTACATTTATTTTTGTTTTGTTTTTTTATTTTTATATATTATATTATTTATATTATATTATTTATATTATATTATATATTATATATTATATTATATATTATATTATATATTATA